TATTTCTAAAATGTGTGTATAATCAATATATAGTTATAATATACATCACTTAGTTCATATAGGTATACAAACCTAAATATATATATTTAATTGCTTTTAACTTTATTTATAAAGTCTTGCTGAATTTACTGGAGACTTACTTTTATTTACTATTATCTGGTGTAGATTTGTTCATACCACACATTGTAGTTTGTTTTGACAACTTTAGTTGACAGCTAACTTTAGTTTGACAACTGTGTAGTCATTCTATTGTGTGAACATACCGCAGTTCATTCATCCCCTCTCATGCTGATGGACATTTGGGTTGTTTCCATATTTTTGTTCTTATAGGGAGTCCTTCCATGAACATTTGTGTATTGCTCTTACTATATACCTTGGAGTAAATATTGCTGTATTGAAAGTGAATGTGAATGTGTAATTTTTGATGATGGTGCCCACTGTTATTCAAAGTGGTTAGCATGTTTTTTACATTCCCACCACCATTCTATAAGAGATTCTGTGAAGCCAGGTGTGGTGGTGAAGCCAGGTGTGGTAGTGTACACCTGTAGTCTCAGCTACTTTGGAAGCTGAGGTGGAAGGATCACGTGAGCCCAAGAGTGTAGGCCAGCTTGGACAACATAGAAAAACCTTGCCTCAGTAAACAAAACAGAGGAACAAAAAATAAAGATTCTGTGAATCCACATTTTTCCATAACACTTGGTAGTATCAAGTTTTTTTTTCACTGATTGACTTGATGTAAAACAGTATCACATTGTTTTAAATTCCTTAATTCTTTTTTTTTTTTTTTGAGTTGGAGTCTCGCTCTGTCGCCCAGTCTGGAGTGCAGTGGCCGCTCCCGGCCACCGCAGCCTCGACCTGCTGGGCTCCGGCAATCCTTCCGCCTCTGCCTTCCGAGTAGCTGGAACTACAGGTGTGCGCTACCACGGCTGGCTGATTTTTGATTTATTGTAGAGATGAGGTCTCGCCAAGTTGCCCAGGCGGGTCTCGAACCCGCAGGCTCAGGCAATTCACTCACCTCGGCTTCCCAAAGGCACGGGATTACAGGCTGAGCCTCCGAGCCCGGCTCACCTTAATTCTTAATGATATTAAGCATTTCCTCAAGTTTTTATTAGTTGAAAATATTCTTCTGCCAAATGTCTGTTCATGTCCTCACTCCTGCCATTTTTAATTGATTTCTAGGAATTATACACTTAGAATACCACTGAACTAGACCATCTATATTGGACTACTTTCTAACTTATTAGCGAAATCTTTGACCTCAGAATCTGTCAACCACTCCCTGGCCACCTGTTTAATTTGCAAACCCCTCCAAACTGGACCCCAGTCCTGTTCCATTTTTTTCCCTTTTAGCAGCTACCATCTACACCTTATTTTACATGTACTTATGACTTGTGTGTCTCTTCCTTACTAATATATGTAGACTGCTACATGACACATACAGAGATTGAGAGTGTTCATAAGCTTTCATAGCAATTTAGCATTGTCATCATATTTTCATTAGATTAACCAAAGGATTGGTCTCCAATGAATTGGAAATTTTTGTAAAAACTGGTTCTTCATTACTTTGAAAAGCAATGGTCTAGGTTGACTCATACCTTTATGTCGTAGCATTTGAAAATTTCATCGAATAGAACAGAAAAGAAATAGATAACCACCTATTGTATTTGAAAAAGTGTTTATGCTCTGCACAAAATATAGCTGCCAACAGAGATGAATATTGCTTTTTTTTTTGAGTTGGAGTCTCACTCTGTCCCCGAGACTGGAGTGCAGTGGCCGCTCCTGGTCACCGCAGCCTTGACCCACTGGGCTCCGGTGATCCTTCCGCCTCAGCCTTCTATGTAGCTGGAACTACAGGCGCGCGCTACCATGCCCAGCTGATTTTTTATTTATTGTAGAGATGAGGTCTCGCCAAGTTGCCCAGGCGGGTCTCGAACTCGCAGGCTCAGACAATCCACTCACCTCAGCCTCCCAAAGGCATGGGATTACAGGCTGAGCCACCGAGCTTTTTCTAATTTAGTGAGATAGTGTTTTTCTAGTGTGGGCATTACTTTGTTTTACTGGTATTTCCATGTTTACAGCAGAGCCTGGTATGTGTCTCTTTGTTGTATCTATACATATACATAAATGTATCCATATAAAATGCTATTTTTAAAATGAAAGAGAATGTACGACACTTAATTATATGAAATTCAGCTTGTACGACACTTAATTATATGAAATTCAGCTTAATCCTTTATGCTCTCAGTTTTTATGTTTTGAGTTTTTCAGCCTGAAGTGTGGTTATTAAAGTTGTGCCCACTTCTTCAGCTGTGCACTGAGTGTAAAAATAAATTTTTTAGAATTACATAGATTCATGATTCCTTGGTTTCTAGGTAACTGTATACACATACCTTGAGTATTTTGTAGTATTTCCACATCAAGTAGTGATATTTTACAACTTCTAAAGTGACTAAACTTCTAGAATATTCTTAGGTGAGCTACTATAAAATCAAAGTAATATTATATAACAACTATATGACATTTTGTTAGCATGAATACATAGTAGGAAACTGATCCAAGAAGCTGATATCAGAACTGTAAATATATTTGTGAAAACAAAGTGGTAAGTGAGATCTGGCTGCTTGGAAACAGAGGGCAAAGGTTTCTGTTAAACAGTTTGCCTTTTATTTTCCGGGTATTTGCTACACTACAGTATCTGCAGTGTAGCAAGAGCCTTATTCAGGTTCACTGGGAGTATCTACATGGGTGTGTAGCTTGGTACCTGAAATGCGTTGGTCAAGGTTGAAAATCTCATATTCTTAAGCTGGGCTCGGTGGCTCAGCCTGTCATCCCGCGCCTTGGGAGGCTGAGGTGAGTGGATTGCCTGAGCCCGCGGGTTCGAGACCCGCCTGGGCAACTTGGCGAGACCTCATCTCTACAATAAATCAAAAAATTAGCCAGGTGTGGTAGCGCACACCTGTAGTTCCAGCTACTTGGAAGGCTGAAGCGGAAGGATCGACGGAGCCCAGCAGGTTGAGGCTATAGTGGCCAGGAGCAGCCACTGCACTCCAGTTTGGGAGACAGAGTGAGACTCCAACTCAAAAAGAAAAAAAGAAAATCTCATGTTCTTGACTTTTCCTGTCTAAGATAAAATTGCTTGCAAGCATAATCTCAATATATTTTTAAATAGGTGAAACAATGAGTAGAAATGACACAATTTCAGCATAAACCTATTCTTCAGATGGGATCAGATAACCAGAAATCTGATATCATAGTGAAAGTCAGACAGACCTAGGTTAAAAACTGGTCTTTGCTGAAGTTATCTGATGTGTTTCCATATAAAAATCAAACATCTTCAATCTTCATTTATAAATAGAGATGGCATTAATAAAACTAACAACAACAGATGCTGGCGAGGATGTGGAGTAAAAGGAATGCTTCTACACTGCTGGTGGGAATGCAATCTAGTGTACCCTCTTTGGAAGGCAGTGTAGTGATTTCTGAAAGAACTAGAAATTGACCTTCCATATGACCTAGCAATTCCCCTATTGGGAATACCCAGAGGAACTCAAATCATTCTACAGAAAAGATACCTGCACACACATATTTGTTGCAACTCTATTCACAATAGCAGAAATATGGAACCAACCATGCTGCCCAATGAAGCTGGACTAGATAAAAAAATGTGGCACATATACATAATGGAATACCGTGTAGCCATAAAGAAGGACAAACGTATGGACTTTGCAGCAACTTGGATGGATTTAGAGTCGATCCTACTCAGTGATCTGTCACAGAAACAAAGAACAAAGCACCATATGTTTTCATTCCTAAGTGGACCTTGAACAATTATCATAATACTATAAGAAAGTGATTGGGAATATTGGGAAACTGCCGGGGGGAGGGGATTGGCAGTTGAGGGAAACTGCCAGGGGAGAGAGGGGCACACTTCATCAACAAGGTACCTGTAAAATGAATATTTGTATACCTAACCCTGAATTGTATCCCACATCTTTGATGTTGAAAAATAAAATAAAATAGAGATGGATTTATCCATTTTATGGGGTTGTTCTGGTGAAGGTTTATGAATAATTTATATAAATATGTAATAGCCATTGCAGATACTCAATACCTGATAGCTGTTGTTACATTACAGAATACCAGTGGGGGTAGGTATGTGTCTATATTTAGTATATATGTTAGTGAACTCTTTTCTTAAACTAATCTTAAGGTAAGCCCTTATACAGATATTTTTTTTAAAAAAAGACAAAATTAAGAGGGCAGAGATTGGGTGTGGCTAGTACAGGGAGAAGGAAGTCTCATCCAGCCAGCACCTCTCATGACCCTCAAGAAACTTTCATAGCCATTTTGATACCCTTCAGAGTCCTAGAACTCTAGAGTTCAGCTCAGAAACTATTCTACCGGATTTTTTGTTTGTTTGTTTGTTTTTTTGACTTTTTTTTTGAGTTGGAGTCTCACTCTGTCACCCAGACTGGAGTGCAGTGGCCGCTCCCGGCCACCGCAGCCTCA